GATCTCGTCGCTGTCAACGTTCCGTACGTCCGTGACTCTTACAGTGCCCCTCCACGTCTCATCCGTGACTAGATCTTTGCCCGACCCTCAGCCCACTGCCCGGCTCGTCGTTCCTGCCGTTCGTCATTGCTTTCAGCTCGTCCGTGTCGCCTTGGTAGACGATCCCGCCGCTGTCCTTTCGTGTAAGTCCACGCCGCCCTTATCCCTCTCTCCCCGCTCAACCCTCCCCCATCTACCCCAGTTCCCCGCTTACCCTCCTTGCTCGCCCCTTTCGCTGCCCTTCCCCATTAATCTGCTCGCCCTTGGCCTGCTCGATGTCTTCCATTCGTCACCTGTCGTAAGTCTTCATCACGGCCATCATCGCTCGTTCGGCACTTACTCTCCCCAGCCCTCTCCTCACTCGCTCAGCGTTCCATTCTCCAGCCCTTTCCTCACACCCTTCGAAGTCCTCCTCCCTGCTCGTTTGACCATCCCGAATCTGATAGCGTCGGTGGGCTCCCACCCCTCGCTCCTGTTCAACGCCTCCCTCGTCTTCGGGCACTGCGCCAGTACGTGCTCCGCGTTTGTTTTCACATGACTTTTCACGTTGCCCATCCTGCAGTATAAATTCTCAAATTCTCCATCCTCCAACGCTCAGTTACGGCGCAGGCAAACCTTCGGTGGATTGAAGAAGTCGGGAATGTCCACTTAGAGTAGTAATATTCGTCTTGTACCGATGTGTAGTCTCTCAAGCATAACTGCAGCCCTGCATCCGCTTCAGTAACGTGGTCGTCGACGCAAAGTCAAAGTTGTAATTGTTCGATATCTCCATGTTCCGCTGCGCCTTGGACCAAGGTAATTGTCCGAGGTTTGCTCAATGTAGCGTTTGTATAATGAAGCCGTATCACAGTGATTCTCGTTGGCGTAACGCAATTGTCATCCCATGACGACGCGACGATGGCCAGACGCTTCACGATAATCTTTTGTCTGCCGATGGATATAATACATCGAGCTAGGTACGATACCACCATCCCCCTTCTTCAGTTCACATGTCTGACTCTTCTGACAGCGCTGACCGCCCCCTCAATATCCTGATTACCGCGCCCGCCAGGGCGGGTCGCCTATTTCAACAGACATTCATGCGTCCTGCGACGTTGAATTCCAATGTTCCGCCTGCTGTTCCGCCTGCTGCTCAATCTGCTGTTCAACCTATCCTGGTTCGCCACCGTGAAGGAAATCGATCATCTGACGCTGCTCATCCTGTTCGCTTTATGCCTTCCTCTTTGGCTGTCGTGCGAGCCGATCACTACGAACAGCTCAGTGTAAGTGATACCTTTGACCTCGCCTGCCATGCCGTTTACATTGCTCACCCATCCTTCATTCGGAACAGCCCGTCGTTAACCCTTCCGAGGGTCAACACACTACCCTTGCCCCACCGCCGCCGCCGCCTCCTCCTCCTCCTCCTCCTCCTCCTCCGCCACTAGATGCGCACTCCGCCCACACCAACCACCAGACCTTCGTATACCCTCCGAGCAGACTCCCTCAGCAAGACGCCGCTAGCCCCGTCAATACGTCCGCGGGTTCCACTCAAGATCCGTCGACAGATCCGTTGTCGTCTGGCGCTGCACCGACAACTATTCCCAATCACATTCGTCAGACTCGCGCTAACCGCAAAAGCATTGGACCTCAAAGAACCGGCTCCGCCATTCTCCACCCTGCTCCTTATCCAGCCCCGAAAACTCGAGACATGGCGTCTGATTCTAGTCGCGCGACGCAAGGAGAATTGTTTGGAACCCCCGACGCATCGAAATCAACTTCAAAGGTAAACTTGAATTACTCACTGGATGTCGGTATTCATTGTCAATCGTAGTCCCTGCCATTCCGTCGTCGTACGTCCGTTCCAGCCATAGTTGCTGAGAGTCAGTCGAACGTGAGTACCAGAGACTATTCTTGCATTCTGCGCGCTGATCAGTCGCTACAGTCGGTGCTCGCGATGCCTGGGCATCTCAACTACAACATGGCTCCGCCTGTGGAAGGAAACCCAGCCCCCGCTATGTCGCCTCAGCCTACGATACAGGAAGACGAGACAATGTCTACCTCGGAAGACGAGTCCTCATCCCTGCCACGACCTACACTACAAGACAGCGCGATGACAATATATGAAGACCATCCGATCTCGGTGTCATCAAATCACGCAGCCGCAGCCGGCCCGAACGCATCTATTGCCAACCCGATCGCAGCCAGCGTCGCCAACCCAAATGCAGCCTCTGCCGGCCCGAACGCACCTACTGCCAACCCGATCGCAGCCAACATTACCAACCCAAATGCAGCCTCTGCCGGCCCGAACGCACCTACTGCCAACCCGATCGCAGCCAACATTACCAACCCGAATGCAGCCTCTGCCGG